GTCTCCAGCAGCTGTCCATCTACTAGCTTGGAGAGGGGAGCAGTGAATTGCCTTCCTGTATCTGTGTGTTTGTGGAGACAGCTAGCAAGCAGTGACGTAACAATAACCATAGCAGCCCATGCAGCTGCTATGGGACCTGGGGGTGGAAGGGGGGCCCCATTAAGGCTTGCAGAACGTGCTGTTGAACCTGTACCCCCTATGACATTTCCATCAAGAAGAGCTTATATCACATGTATGCAGACAGATCTCCTGCTACCTGTTCCTGATTTAGATTCTAAGGGGTTGCCGGAGGGCCCCATCAAAATTTTGCAATGGGGGCCCATGATCTGTAGTTATGCCCCTGCCTGCAAGGGAAAGGAGCCACCTTAAAACAGAATATCAGGGCCAGTGCTCAGCTGATTATGCAGGAAACTGAACATGAAGGAGCAGCGTTCATTGTAAGTGATTTAATCAGCATTTGAAAAACCTTTTCAAATGTTGATGAAATGTGAAAATTCAAATTAGAAAAATTGTAATTCCCATCCCCCGCGTTTACACGCACACCTACGAAAATGCGTATATGTGGCGCGCCTTTGTATAAAATCAGCGGTTGCGCCACACGCGTTTGGTATGGCAAGCCGGAGTGAGAGCAATCATTCTGGGGACAGTATTCACAGATTACTCTAAATTGATGACCTCTAAAGATACATAATATGACTCGCAAATCGTGTTCTGTCCTCATTCACTTGTACAGGCGGTGTATGTAGAGGAAGAAGTTTGTGTCTGTGCACAGGACGGGTCCCTGATGTGCAGGAAGCAATCCATTTAGGACCCCTTAGAGGCCAACAACTCGTCTTTTTATACCTTCCAGTTTCTCATTGCATTACAGAGACAAGGAAATGTCTTTCAGTCCTGAGCATGCTCTTTATCCTAAAGGTACCCATTGACAGAGTTTCATCTCAACTCAACATGCATGTGCCGAGGCGCTGGTCACATGACCGGGTATAAAGGTACCCATTGATGGAGGTTCATCTCAACTCAACATGCATGTGCCGAGGCACTGGTCACATGACCGGACATAAAGGTACCCATTGATGGAGGTTCATCTCAACTCAACATGCATGTGCTGAGGCACTGGTCACATGACCGGGCATAAAGTTACCCATTGATGGAGGTTCATCTCAACTCAACATGCATGTGCCGAGGCACTGGTCACATGACCGGACATAAAGGTACCCATTGACAGAGGTTCATCTCAGCCTAGCATGCATGTGCCGAAGCACTGGTCACATGACCGGGCATAAAGGTACCCATTGATGGAGGTTCATCTCAACTTAGCATGCATGTGCTGAGGCACTGGTCACATGACCGGGCATAAAGTTACCCATTAGCAATTTTACCATGTTAAAAGATACCGCGCACTTTCACAAAACAACTGACTGACTGTCTTCACTTTTCGCCCGGGGCCCGCGCCCCTGCTGCCCCCCCGGTTGTTACGCCACTGCTTTGCTGTACAGGGATCACAAGCAACTCCTAACGGCTTCTCAAAATTCCTTGCCAATGCATATATGTGTTGGCGCACCGCAATGCACAGTGATGCACTCTCATGCGTTGTGGTGCGGTGCCTTTGCAAGCAAAGTACATGCGCTTTTTCTGGTGCCTTTTAGTGCGCTGGGAGCACTGCTTGCATGTAATAAAATCCATTCTATGATGTCATAATGAACACATCTGCATTGATTTGTGTCTTTTATATCCGCCCGGAGTTCAGCACAACGATCTCTGAGAATAACATTTTGGAGCGGTCCTCCGCTCAGTGATCACTTCTGACTGCTGACATTTTGCGCCGTCCGATTTTGTGTCGTTTTCCCTTCGTTGGGAAAAGTATCTTTGGAAGGTGATGGTGGAATCGTCCCAAAATGTGTTTTGGCTCGTCCAACGGATGATTCATCCCGCGTCCTGCAGCTCTGCGCTCTCCGCCTTTGTAATATGTTGTAGCACACATGTCGACATGTCTTCCCCGAGCAGAGCCTGCAGAGCCGCCAAGCGTCTGGCTTCTATTACGCCGTTTTACTGGTCGATTTGACCTAATATGCGTTTTTGAAGCATGTTACTATATAAGCATTATGGCCACTCAGAAGTGAAGTGAATAAAATTGATTATCTAATTTCTATGTCACCTGGAAGTGTGGGGACATATTACAATGACACTGGAAGTGGGGTGGGGGGCGGATATTACAATGGCACCTGGAAGGGGGAGGA